GCTGCAGCTTTGCTCTGAGGAATGTGCTTTTTAAAGGTTAACCAGGATCTTTAAGCTGTGGCCGTGCCTCTGCGCATCTGGAGACACAGGGGCCACTGAGGAGATGCAAGGGGAAGAACCATCAGATTGCTTCCTAAACGGTAGGATTTATTTCAATGCTCACATGATATGCAATGAGACAAACTGTTTACATACAAGATAAGTAGAAAGATATAATACAACTTTTACTGTACATATCAGGTATATATCAAGTACATTACTATACATATTTTATTCCCCAAATGTTGGCAGATAGAGATGAGGAGGGGCCTACTGTGGAAGGAAGCTTGGGGGACTGTTGGCAGGAGACAGGATCATCCTTCATGAATTGTTTATAAAAGATGCAGTGGTTTGGGTTCTAGAACCTGACAATTTGCCAGGAGCAACGAGTGAGCAGGACACTTGCGCTTTTAGGGTACCAGCTCATTTTTACCTTGTAGACATGCTTCTTTTCCTCAGCGTCGAAGCTGGGAGCTGGCGAGAGTCGGTCTCTGCGGACTGGCTGTGTGACCCCCGTCCACCTCACCCCTGAACCTCCGTCACTGATCCAGGGCAGCAGGCAATGGGCTCCCTGCCTGGGCTGCCGTAACCGGTGTCTTATTCTGATTCTGAAAACAGTGTTATCTGTCTGGTGTCATTAGACAACTTTCTTAGATTTAGACCTGGACAGCTCTCCGGTGAGCATTTGAGACCAGCGAACTGATGAACAGAAAAGATAAAAGTGAAGAGCACTGGAAATCTGGATAGCACACAACCTGGTTTCCAAGGACTGTGATAACTAAGATCAAAAGAGCAGAAACTGAACAGTACGTCCAATGCCCCAGTGAGAAAATACCAGGCAAAATAGTCACATTCCATGAAACGACCAAAATTCGATCTCTCCTGCAGTTGACTGTGAACGGCAACGCTATTTCATTCCACAAAAGCTCCACTGTAAGTAATATAGACTGCATTTTTTTTAATGCAATTTTTGAGGAAAGTGAGGTTAGTAGTTTCCTGTGCTTTTCACCAAGGGTTGAAATTGGCTATAGAAAATGTTCAATAACAAAGGAAAACAATTCCAGATTTACCGCGTGTCGCAAAACAGGAACGGAATTAACACAGAATGAAGCACTTAGTGGGCCTTCCCTGGTGGCTCAGATGGTAAAGAATCCACCAGCAATGCAGGAGACCCAGGTTTGGTTCTTGCTTCAGGGAGATCCCCTGGAGAAGAGAACGGCAACCCACTCCAGTATTCTTGCCTGGAAAACCCCATGGATGGAGGAACCTGGTGGGCTACGGTCCAGGGGGTTGCAAAGAGCTGGATACAAATGAAGCAATTTAGCAAGCATGCATGCATGGATTTGCCTCAGGAGAACAGTAATAAAGCTTCTAATTTCTAGATGCACCACACTGACATCCCCGCTACAGAACCTACTCTACAGGGGTGTGGGGATTGTTTTGTTTGTTGGTTTTGGAAGATACAAAAGTTGGAGGGATGTCAGATTCTGGAAGACACCCCGCGTTAGCCTAAATCCTGAACAGTCCATAACATCTCTCCTGGAGGCACAGGGTGAAGAGAGATAATGGGCACATGGGCAGTCATCTGTTCCTGAGTTCAAGGAGAGTTATAAGAACAAAGTTATTTAAAGTACAGCCTGACTCTTTGCTTCGGATTGATACCAGTAACATCCAAGTGAAATGATCAATCATCATCTTAAACAAGGCACTGCCAACTTTTTATAAGAAATTAAACTATTTACATCTAAGAGAAGGAAACTAATAGAAGGATAGTTTGGACTTTCAGAATTCAGATCTCCCTCTGAGCTTGTGAGCCTTTAATGCTGAGCTTTTTAACCTGTAATCACTTTTCAAAATCCAGATGCATATTCAAATTATCTTGGAATTTTTTGAAAAATACAAATGCCTAGGTATGGTTTTTTTTCTCTAAAGCCCCAGATATGCTTCTAATGAGAGCAGTTGTGTTTTAAAATGACTGGAATATATGATGATCTTTTACTTTTATCTTGTTTGTTTCACTTTTTCTATTTCACATTCAGAGCTCCCATTTCATTTAGTTTATGTTTTCCAATTTCTCCATCTCTTCTTTTTTTTTGTTTGTTTTGATGTTCCTCTCAAGTATAGTAGAAAAGGTTTTGTATATATATATATATATATATATATATATATGTATGTATGTATGTATGTGTATATATATATATACACCATGTATAATGTTGGTTTGTTTTGGAAGATATATATATATCATAAACTTGACTTTTTTCCACTGGCAGAGCTAATATGATCTTTAGAAAACACTGTATGTGAGGTGAGTTTTTCTGGGAACTGAACAATTGGTGTCAGGCTCCAAATTAGCTTTTTATGGGGCTCTCAGTCATTTTGCTATGGGGACTATATTTTCAAAAGAGAACAGGTCTCTATTCCTGTTGCTTCTGATATGAAATTTCCACTAATAAAACTGTATTAAAGTTGAATAAAACCTTATTCCATCTGCTAAAATGTATAATTCATCTTTAAAATAAGTTTATTTTTAAAAGAGCATGGGATACAGTCATTAAAAAACCACTGCTGATGCTTCAGCATTTCAGAGAGGCAATCGGGCAGGGATAATATACCTCATTCACTGTTTTCCAACATCCAAAAGAGCAAAGAAGCAAAGATTATAGCAATATGTCTTCTCTGATTTTGTCATTTCAAAACAAATAACCTAAATGCCTTGGTTCAGTATTTATTGAGTTACAAAATGTCCTTAAATCAATTATCAACCAATTATTATTAGTGATCTCAATAGGGGAGAACAGCAGAAATAAATTCCAAAATAGTGCCCAGGCTGCAAATATTTTTACCCTACATGGTAATGCCCTGTGCAATATTTCATTTCCCCTTTTGTGCATTTCTGAGGTCAAAGTAAGTATTATTGTACTTTCTCTCATTTCACAACCACTGATCAGAGAAGTAAGGAAGTCAGAAAGGCTTTCTGGCATCTACTATAGATAATTCACTAGTGGGTAATCAAACATTCATCAATATTAGCTCTGTTGTGTCAACAGACATCTCCAAATACACCATGAAAGAATGGACACACTGGACATGCAATCACTTTTTTTTTTAATTTTTATTTTTATTAGTTGGAGGCTAATTACTTTACAACATTGCAGTGGGTTTTGTCATACATTGAAATGAATTAGCCATGGATTTACATGTGTTCCCCATCCCGGTCCCCCCTCCCACCTCCCTCTCCACCCGATCCCTCTGGGTCTTCCCAGTGCACCAGGTCCGAGCACTTGTCTCATGCATCCAACCTGGGCTGGTGATCTGTTTCACCCTAGATAATATACATGTTTCGATGCTGTTCTCTTGAAACATCCCACCCTCGCCTTCTCCCACAGAGTCCACAAGTCTGTTCTATACATCTGTGTCTCTTTTTCTGTTTTGCATATAGGGTTATCGTTACCATCTTTCTTAATTCCATATATATGTGTTAGTATACTGTAATGGTCTTTATCTTTCTGGCTTACCTCGCTGTGTATAATGGGCCCCAGTTTCATCCATCTCATTAGAACTGATTCAAATGAATTCTTTTTAATGGCTGAGTAATATTCCATGGTGTATATGTACCACAGCTTCCTCATCCATTGGTCTGCTGATGGGCATCTAGGTTGCTTTTAAAAGAATAGCAAAGACTCTGCAGAGGAGTTGATTTAAGGGCACCATCTGAATCGCCTCTTGTATGGAAATTTATGGCCAGAGCTGCGGTACTTGAGCAGCACCCCCACCCAACGTGCAGAATGGTTGCCTTGAGGCAGATGCAAATGAGTCACTGTAGCCACTCCAGGCAGCTCCGGATACTGTCTGGTGTTAGGTACCCCAGAGCCAGTCTTTAGTAGAGAAATGCCACCCCAGAGCCAGTCTTTAATAGAGAAATGCCACCCCAGAGCCAGTCTTTAGTAGAGAAATGCTGCATTTGGACACAAGCCATGAAGCTACCCTTTAAATGCAGGCACTAAAACTTCAATGGTGTGTAAAAGACATCCAGGGGTTAGAGATAGTTGATGACCATGGGGCAAAAGTCAAAGCTGAAAGTAGCATGATGGTGTTGGGAAAATGTTCCCGATTGAGTCTCAAAGTGAGGAAAATGCCCAAAAGGAGCATCAGAATATTTGTAAATGTAAACACTATGAAGGCTGCACCTCCAGTGTGCATTAAGGGAGTGTTTACACAAAATGACTAGCTGAGCATAGACTTGATATGTTTTTAAATAAAATTTCTTTTGACCTGTGGTTCTACTAACACATCCTTTCAGGAAGTCTCTGGGCTTAAAATATGTTCATAACTCTGAAGGCATCTCACTCACTAACTCTGCCAAGGACTCCTACGCAAACTCTGACCACACAGGCGTTGATGCCCACGAACTTCACCCTTTTGCAGATAAATGAGGAAAGAGAGGCACCTTGGCCTGCTCTCTGGGCAGTTGATCCCGGAAGATCCAGGGATCAGACACAGGACTGTGTGGGATGGTCACAGTCTCCACCTGGGATCGTCCACAGCCCTGGGCTGGGGGGCACCAGAGTCCCTTCTTTACAAGGCCACTTTCTCCCAATTCTCTTCCTTTCTCCTTGACATCACTCATGATTCAGGGGGCCTGGTTCTCGTTGACCCCGCAGGCTGACCGTTCCTGGGCACAGAGCCTTCTCCACGTCGCAGCCCTCACATTCGCTCACCGCTTACCCCTCTCCGTTCCTTTAGACTCTCTGTCCACACTCTGCACACACAAGGAACCCTGTTTTTCCCCAGGATCACTGCCAATTCCAGTCGGAATCCGCAGGCTTAGTGACATGGCCCTGAAACAGCGGGAAGGTTCAGATCCCCCTGTAAGTTCCAGGGGCAGCGACACAGAAGCAGGCCTAGAGCAGGTCAGGCCATCGGGGAAGAAAACACCCGAGTCTGGGGACCCTGGGTCTTCACGCAGCACAGCCTGATTCTGCGTGCCCAGAATCCACAGAGTCGAGGTCGCCCAGGGAGACAAGCCCCTCCGTGCGGTCCGAGCCGTCACCTGCAGAGCTGCTCTGAGAGGCCGCCCGCTGTGCCGCGAGCAGGGACCTGGGGCAGTGCGGGCTGGTGTTAGGCAGCGACTGGTCTGGTCTAGAGAAAGCACCCAACACTGGGAATCAGATTCCAAGGAATTTCAGTGTGAGACTGAAGCCCGTTTCCTAACGAGAACCAGCCAAACTTCAACTGTATCTAGAAGCAACCCTAGAAATTAAACTGTGATTAGCATCATTTGACATTTAGTTCCTTTAGCATGATCAACATGCTGATGCAGCTTAACGGTATTCATCTCTAATTGTTCTTCTTATGGTAAAAATGAAAAAAAAAAAAAAAAAGCTCACACAGAAATTTGAAGCGTGACAAGCGTCCCCAGAAGGTTTATGGCAGGAATCCCAAACATCTCAGCCCGAGGAAGAGCTGCTGTGTGCAGATGCCACCGTGGTAGATGCCACAGTGAAAGCCCACCACCACGAGGGGCTTGATGAGGGGCTCGGAGGGGAGGCGTAGACTCGTGAGCTGCAGCTGTACAGAGATGGGAAAACAGGAGGCTAAGACGCTTAGACCACAGCGAAAATCACTCTAAACCGGTCGATCCTCTGTTAAGTAATTATTTAAACCACGCCATTAAGATGGCTACAACTCCAAAGCTTGACAAGACTGATTACAAGGAAGAATGTGAAGCAACAGGAACCCTCACTCATTGCTGGTGGGAACGCACAGCCATCCAGCCACTCTGGAAGACAGCTTAGCGGGTTTTATAACCCTACCAGATCCTGGTTTAATCAGAGGACCAACAGGAGAAAGCAGACTGGTTGGAAGGAGGTTTAATTACAAAAGGACATGACATGGGAAGAATGGGAGAGGGGGACAGCCAGTCATTTCCTAAGACAGTGTTGTCTCCTATTTATAGGTGGAGACGGGGAGGCTCAGAGAGCCTGAGCAACTTTCTCAAGGCTATACACGGGGTCAGGTAGATCCAATATTAACGTCCCTCGTGCCCTTCTTCCTGGGGACTGGAAAGAGACTGGCTTCCTATGCGAAATGTAGGGCTCAAAAACTGGATTAATCGCTCATTGCGGAAGGAAAAAAATAACAAATGCACCACCTCATTGCCTCATAGGGAGGGGTGGAGAAAAAAGGACATTTACTGCACTTGAAAAAGTTGGTTGAAAACAGTGCAAAGTTTGTCTCGGGGCGCCCTCTAGTGGAAAGTTCCTGAAGTGACAGCCTTTTCCTCAAAGACAGGAGGTCTTCATTTCTTGCATTTCCCTTGTTCCTTTGGAATCTAAGTACCGAAGGCCATGGGCCTTGGTTTCACAAGCTAAATGAAGGCACTTCCTCATACGGGGGAGGAGGCCTTTATCCTGACCATCACCTGCGTCACCACCACGGAGCTTTCCAGGGCTTCCCTTGTAGCTCAGTTGGTAAAGAAACTGCCTGCAGCTCAGGAGACCCGGGTTCGGTTCCTGAGTAGGGAAAATCCCCTGGAGGAGCATGGCAACCTACTCCAGTGTTCTTGCCTGGAGAAACCCCACGGACAGAGGAGCCTGCAGGCTACATGGCCTTGGGGTCGCAAGACTCGGACACGACTTCGCAGCTGAACCACCACTAAACCACCGCCCAGGGTCCACCTGCCTTCTTGGCACAACTGTCTGCAGCGGCGGCCGTCGATGCCCTACCTTGATGGCCTCCACGCGCCCAGGTCGCTGCTGCTGTAAGTTCTGCGAGGGGCTGGATACCGGTTCCTCTGGCAAGAGGCATGGCCCCAGGATGGGACAGCGATCGCTTAGACAGCAGGTTCAAAGCCGTGTCGGTTTCTTTCCCTTCTCTTTCTCCTCTCAACTTCTTCCTTTTCCCCGAGTCCCCTTTTCCTTTCCTGAACAACTCAGGCCTCAGGGATGCCCAGGGAGGCATTTGAGGTTGGCATTCAGGCGCCATGGGGCCAGTGGGCAGCGTCAGGGGCTGGGCAGGGGGAGGTCATCCTGGGGCCGGGCAGCCCCTCCGGGAATTGGGGGTCTCCTGGGCACACCAAGGATGCGGGACGAGGTCCCCGGACACAGAATCATTCCTGCAGGTGCCTGGGGAAGGCTGGGGCCAGCTGACCCCCCAGGATAGCCTGCCTGCAGGTTTGCATCCCACACCCGGGTCCCCAGGCGTGTGCCCCTAAATCACCCAGGCTCCTCTCGGGGACTCTCTGGGCCTCCTTTGCCTCACCTGTGACCTGCAGCACAGGTGAGGTATTTCCTATGTGACCCTAAACCCCGGGGGGCCCCCTCCAAGCAGGGCCCCTTTGACGCTCCAGGACACATTCCCCCCAAGGTGCGGAGCAGTGGATTGGCTCCCGGAGGTCGATGGACACCCCTGGGTCTTCCGGGGCCTCTAATGAACATGAGACTCCAAACAGACCCACAATTCCTGAAGCAGGCTCCTCCTCTTCATAACCTGAGGCTGGATAATCCCGGAGGGCATTACTGGAACATTCCACAAGTCTCACCTGCTCCCTGACATCCACCTACTTTTCATTTCCCCATTATTTGGTCACTGGATTAACAGAGTGGGAGGAATCCATAAATCCTGATTTTGCTGGAAGCCTCCAGGGCTGGACAGTTCCCAACCTGGGACCGCTGGGCGAAGCCATGCAGGAGTCATTGCACCAACTTCTACTCTAGCCCCGAAGCAGTCCCCAAGAGGAGGAGCCAGATCTTGGACCTGTCGTCATTTCTCCGTATGTTAGCCGCCTGGATCCCCGGGGTCAAGGCCACATTCAGATAAAAGGACTTCTGTTGCACTGGTAACATAGTATAACACGTGAAAGAAGTATGACTCTCCACGTGCAGATTCTTTGTCATTAGCCACGTGAATCATTCCTGCAGGTGCCTGGGGAAGGCTAGGGCCAGCTGACATCCTTAGGATGATTGTATAGTCTCTGTGTCTCACGCAACTAAAAATAGCTAAGTTGGAACATTTCAGTAAGCCTACATTTTTTCTGCCTAAGCAAAAATCATGCCTATTAAACCTCTTGAATCTGCTTGGTGTGGCTCTTTGCTTTAAATACACTGCTTGCTGTGATTGGTCAGTAAGCTGACAGGGAAATCCCACAGTTAAGTTAGTTGGCTGATTTTCTGGGCAAAGTCTAATGATGTCTCAAAAAACAGAAGGGAGAAGTCCATATTGTCTCCCAGAGCATCCTATGATGTTGGATAATTGCTTGTGTTTACCTGCCGGTCCTAAAATGAGGTTGGTCCAACCTCTCCCCTATCTCCCTGCTGATGTATTAATATGAGCAGCCTAAAGAGTTAAGACATCATTTCTGAGGTTTATAGACTCACGTTTCTGTACATTCACTCAATATGACAATGAGGCATGCGTCTGGGCTCTGTAGCCAGTTGGTCAGTCTGGCTCAGACACACAGGAGCTGCATTTCAGGATGAGAGGGAGCTTTGCCTTATGTCATCCTGGGTGCTCAAGGTCCTTGAAGGACCCCTCTGTCCTAACCCAAGAGGGCCGGTCGGGGGGAGTAACTGCTGGTCTAAGTTAGGCCTTCTGTGCAGCTCTGGTCGTGACATAGGCAAATGCTATACAGTATGTGGATGACTCAGACGGAGAATCCAAGTCTGTAATGGATGTGAACTTGAGAATGTTTTTTGTCATCCAGGACTGTAGAAAGTTTAAAGGATGTAGACAAATACTCATGCCTCATTATAACTGAGTCACCCAGAGGCTGGAAACTCAGATCAATTGCAAACTGAGTGAAAGTGTTAGTTGCTTGGTAATGTTTGACTCTTTGAGACCCCATGGACTGTAGCCCACGATCGTCCTCTGTCCATAGGATTCTCCAGGCAAGAATACTGGAGTGGGGTGCTGTGGCCTCCTCCAGGGGATCTTCTTGACCCAGGGATCAAACCCAAGTCTTCCACATTGTAGGCGGATTCTTTACCATCTGAGCCACCAGGGAAGCCCCTAGGTGATGTCTTGTGGTTGTTCAGCTGCTCAGTCGTGTCCGACTCTTTGAGACCCCATGGACCGCAGCACGCCAGGCCTCCCTCTCCATCACCAACTCCCGGAGTTTGCTCAAACTCATGTCCATTGAGTTGGTGATGCCATCCAACCATCGCATCCTATGTCGTCCCCTTCTCCTCCTGCCTTCAATCTTTCCCAGCATCAAGGTCTTTTCCAGCGAGTCAGTTCTTTGCATCAGGTGGCCAAAGTATTGGCGTTTCAGCTTCAGCATCAATCCTTCCAGTGAATATTCAGGACTGATTTCCTTTATGATTGACTGGTTTGATCTCCTTGCAGTCCAAGGGACTCTGAAGAGTCTTCTCCAACACCACAGTTCAAAAGCATCAATTCTTCAGCACTCAGCTTTCTTTATAGCCCAACTCTCACATCCTTACACGACTAATGGAAAAACCATAGCTTTGACTAGATGGACCTTTGTCAGCAAGGTAATGTCTCTGCTTTTGAATATGCTGTCTAGGTTTGTCATAGCTTTTTTTACAAGGAGCAAGCATCTTTTAATTCCAAGGCTGCAGTGATTTTGGAGCCCAAAAAAATAAAGTCTGACACTGTTTCCATTGTTTCCCCATTTATTTGCCATGAAGTGATGGGACCAGATGCTGGATCTTCATTTTCTGAATGTTGAGTTTTAAGCCAACATTTTTACTCTCCTCTTTCACTTTCATCAAGAGGCTTTTTAGTTCCTCTTCACTTGCTGCCATAGGGTGGTGTCATCTGCATATCTGAGGTTATTGGTATTTCTCCCAGCAATCTTGATTCTAGCTTATGCTTCTTCCAGCCCAGCGTTTCTCATGACGTACTCTGCATATAAGTTAAATAAGCAGGGTGACAATATACAGCTTTGACGTACTCCTTTCCTTATTTGGAACCAGTCTGTTGTTCCATGTCCAGTTCTAACTGTTGCTTCCTGACCTGCATACAGATTTCTCAGGAGGCAGGTCAGGTGGTCTGGTATTCCCATCTCTTGAAGAATTTCCACCGTTTGTTGTGATCCACACAGTCCAAGGCTTTGGCATAGTCAATAAAGCAGTAGTACATGTTTTTTGGGAACTTTCTTGCTTTTTCAATGATCCAGCAAATGTTGACAACTTGATCTCTGGTTCCTCTTCCTTTTCTAAATCCAGCTTGAACATCTGGAAGTTCACAGTTCACATACTGTTGAAGCCTGGCCTGGAGAATTTTAGCATTACTTTACTAGCATGTGAGATGAGTGCAATTGTGCGGTAGTTTGAACATTCTTTGGCATTGCCTTTCTTTGGGATTGGAATGAAAACTGACCTTTTCCAGTCCTGTGGCCACTGCTGAGCTTTCCAAATTTGTTGGCATATTGAGTGAAGCACTTTCACAGCATCATCTTTCAGGATTTGAAATAGCTCAACTAGAATTCCATCACCTCCACTAGCTTTGTTCATAGTGATGCTTCCTAAGGCCCACTTGACTTCACATTCCAGGATGTCTGGCTCTAGGTGAGTGATCAAACCATCATGATTATCTGGGTCATGAAGATCTTTTGTGTACAATTCTCCTGTGTATTCTTGCCACCTCTTCTTATTATCTTCTGCACCTGTTAAGTCCATACCATTTCTGTCCTTTATCAAACCCATCTTTGCGTGAAATATTCCCTTGGTATCTCTAATTTTCTGAAGAGATCTCTAGTCTTTCCCATTCTATTGTTTTCCTCTATTTCTTTGCATTGATCACTGAGGAAGGCTTTCTTATCTCTCCTTGCTATTTTTTGGAACTCTGCATTCAAATGCATATCTTTCCTTTCCTCCTTTGCTTTTCGCTTCTCCTCTTTTCACAGCTATTTGTAAGGCCTCCTCAGATAGCCATTCTGCTTTTTTGCATTTCTTCTTCTTGGGGATGGTCTTGATCCTTGTCTTCTGTACAATGTCACAAACCTCCGCCCATAGTTCTTCAGGCACTCTGACTATCAGATCTAACCCCTTGAATCTATTTCTCACTTCCACTGTGTAATTTAAGGGATTTGATTTAGGTCATGCCTGAATGATCTAGTGGTTTTCCCTACTTGCTTCAATTTAAGTCTGAATCTGGCAATAAGGAGTTCATGATCTGAGCCACAGTCAGCTCCCGGTCTTGTTTTTGCTGACTGTATAGAGGTTTTCCATCTTTGGCTGCAAAGAATATAATCAATCTGATTTCAGTATTGACCATCTGGTGATGTCTGTATGTAGAGTCTTCTCTTGTGTTGTTGGAAGAGGCTGTTTGCTATGACCAGTGTGTTCTCTTGGCAGAACTCTATTAGCCTTTGCCCTGCTTAATTCTGGACTCCAAGGCCAAATTTGCCTGTTACTCCAGGGGTTTCTTGACTTCCTACTTTTACATTCCAGTCCTCTATAAAGAAAGGGACATCTTTTCCTTCAGAGGGTGGACAGAATTAAAACCACAATCACAGAAAACTAATCAGACTGATCACATGAACCACAGCCTTGTCTAACTCAATGAAACTATAAGCCATGCTATACAGGGCCACCCAAGACAGATGGGTCATGGTGGAGAGTTCTGACAAAACATGGTCCACTAGAGAAGGGAATGGCAAACCACTTCAGTATTCTTGCTTGAAAACCCCAAGGTGATGTATAGGTGTCAATTATTTAGCACTTACATATGTGTAATTAACATTCAAAGTGTTGGGGATCCATGAAGGGTCTTTAGTCTGTTAATCTTGGCCACCAGAAGAAATAGTGGGACTTTTCTGGGGGCCCAGTGGTTAGGAATCTGCTTTGCAATACATGGGACACAGGTTGGTTTCCTGGTTGGAGAGCTAAGATCCCAAAATACCAAGGAGTAACTGAGTCCACAGGCCACAACTAGAGGTTCCACTTGCTGCAAGGAAGGATCCTGCGCAATGCAACTAAGACCCAACACAGGCACACAGTTAAATATTAAAAAAAAAAAAA